CCAACTCATCCAACCCCCCCGCTCCCTGTCCCCTGATTGGCCCCCAGTATCCCATGCCCCTTCTCCAACTCCCCGGCCCCCACAACTATGAAAGCTAACTTGCCTTTAAAAAAAAAAAAGCTGAGATTGTCCCATAATCTCATAATTTCAGAAGCTGGGACTTTGAGAAAAAACACCAAACATAGCAAGACTGGCAATAAAATTGTGATTAGTGGCAAAACTGCATTATCTGTGCTCTTATATGCGCCAATCACAGTGCTCCTTCAGCTCCTTTATGCTAGAATTCATTCATTTGTAAAGCAAAGTCTAGATTGGTGTTTTGCATTTATCACAGCACTTGTTCATTAGAGATAGATTGTGCCCTTAGGCATAGCTGTGAATAAGGGTCTTTGCATTAAAAGGCTGCACCATCCCAGGGAGGAAGTGTGAGTCAGAGAATCACAGTTCCCCCACATGTATGCATTCCCCCCTTGCCCCAAGGGGAGGGGGAAAGGGAGTGATTTACCTCACCTTTGCAAGGTTGCAGTTGACTTCCCCATGTATGTTCAGCTTAGAGTGTCTGGCTGAGAGCCCAGCCCCACCCAGCGCTGCCGGCAAGGCGATCTGAAGCCGCAGGGGAGGAGGAAGCGGGGGAGGGGCTTTGGCTGCCGCTGCCAGCCCCGCCCCCTCACGGAGCGCGCAGCCCCCCCCACAGCGCTGCCGGCGTGGCGATCTGAGGCTGCAGGGGAGGGGGAGCCAGGGAAGGGCTTTGGCTGCCAGAGAGGCCCCAATCTGAGCGGCCCCACTATGTCGGCCGCTTTTCAGTCTTTACATAGCCGTCCGGGGGGAAATCCCGGACATTTTTAGATGTTTACAAATCCCCCCCGGACGGCTATTTAAAGACCAAAAAGCCGGACATGTCCGGGGAAACCCAGACATATGGTAACCCTATCCTATCAGCTCCCCTCTCCCCTAAGTTCCCTGTGCAGCAGCTGTCCAGCAGGCTATCAATTGCCAGCAGTTCAGCTGTCCCTCCCCCCACTGCCATGTGCTGCTCCTGCCCTCTGCTTTGGAGCCGCTCCCCGAGACTCCTGCTTGCTGTGTGGGGAGGGGGGGGAAGGAAGAGGGGGGGCTAATGTCAAGGTGTCACCCTGCTCCTGCACTCCACTTACCCCATCCCCCACAGAGCAGGGGGGACACACCAGGGCTCAGGACGGCGGGAGCTTGTAGCGGTCTAAGCAAGCTGATCTAATTAATACGGCAGTGTACTTAAAGGGGAATGCGCACATCTCCCTCCATTCCTGCTGCCTTGTCGAGTGAGAGAGTTAACCCTTGGGGGCTCAGCCAATTGCTAGTTCATCATCATTTAGCAGTAAGGGAAATATCCTACCCTCTGACTCCTCCACCTCAACCAAGCTTCACAATCGTCATCACTGTGTACCAGTATTAAATTATTTGTTTAAAACTTATACTGTGTGTGTGTATGTATATGTGTGTGTGTGTGTGTATGTGTGTGTATGTATATGTGTGTGTGTGTATGTGTGTGTATGTATATGTGTGTGTGTGTATGTGTGTGTGTGTATATATATATATATGTATGTATGTATATATATGTGTGTGTGTGTATATAAAAAAAAAAAGTCTTTTGTCTGGTGAAAAAAATTTCCCTGGAACCTAACCCCCTCATTCATGTTAATTCTTATGGGGAAATTGGATTCGCTTAACATCGTTTTGCTTAAAGTCGCATTTTTCAGGAACATAACTACAACATTAAGTGAGGAGTTACTGTACTATGTTCCAGTCACAAGGTCTATCAGTTACCCTTGCGCAAAGACTTTCAAAGCTGTTGGGTTGCATGGGTGTACTGAGGGCCCACTTTGTCCTTTTGTGTAAAAACTGGTAATCAGAAAAGCACAAGCTGTACTTCGGGAAACCTACTTGGCTTTTTCACACACCAACTTGTCTGTGGTGCTAACATCTGCCGCTAAATCAGTTTATCTGCTCCTTCCTATTTAGCTCTGCCTTAGGCAGCTTCTCACTCAGCTCAGTTCTGCCCTTAGCCAACCTCTTTATTCAGCTCAGGCTTGTTCCATGTCCTTTGTAACAGGTAATTATAATGGAATCTGATGTGAAGGATCAATTTTGAGCATTCGTTCTGGTTGTTAAATCCAAATAAACACTGCATGTAGCCCCACAGCATTGTACTTTCCAAATCTAGCACAAGCAAAATCGCTGTTTTCCTAGGTATTTTAGTATCAAGGCAGGTCCATCAGATTACAGTGAGTGAGGATCTCAAAATGGGACTAAACTGTTTTTCTTTTGGAAATATAAATCTGATTGTTTTCCTGTTTGATCTTTATAAGTCGCCTATTAATGAATGTAGATAGAGAAGGGAAAGTATGATTTAATCAGTAGAGGCAAATGGTCCCAAAACTAATTCTGCTGTTTGGGAGAGGATTTCATAACTAATGGGAATCTGAGTTGCATAGACATGTACAGCTACAATAAAATTTACAGGGTATTTTTGAACATGGGGGTCCCATAACCTAATGATGTCATTTCAGTTTTACAAATTTCAGATTCTTCAAACACTTAGTCTGTTTTGGTTTGTCCTCTGCTTTCAATTTCTTCTCAAATTTTATCTCAAAACATATAGATGTTCTTTGCCTTGATGTCTTAACACAGCAGCAAAGAGAGACAAATTATTTGAGAGTCCAGTTTTGCATCACTTTATCATAGAAGTAATGGTTTCAAAATGAAGCTCATACTTTGTAACTGTGTTACGATTAAGTCTATAGATTTAAGTAAGGGTGGGAGATTATTTGGAGAGGCAGGGGATTTGACTTTTTGTTGCCTGTTCTACTGAGGGGGAATTATAATAAATTGTACTGTTGGTATTATTTATGATTTATTTTAAAGTTATATCAAGGACCTCTAGAATATATGGATAGGTGTTCTCTTAGCATTTGTGTAAATTTAAATAAATTAAATAAAATACAGAATATAGGCAATATTTGATGCTAGGGTTTATATCTCAGAACATAAAGAAGCATATAATGTTAAAAAGATACACGTTTTAATTGAATTCTTTTTCTCTCTTTAAGGGAGCAAATATTCTTCTAACAGATAATGGCCATGTAAAATTAGGTAAGTACTTCAGAAATCTTTTTCAGATTATACTGCAAAAAGATACTGCAGATTATAAAAACTTTTTTGAATTCTCATCCAAGAATACCAGAATGTTATATAATACCAGTATACTTCAGTGAGAGGGAAGGTATTATTAGGACTAGTTTTTTCATTGATGAGGTCTCAGTGGTGATTGAATTGGTGCATGGGTGTGCACAACTGGCTAATCAGACAATAGCTTTGGAAATCAGGTGAAAGACATATTCCCATAGTGAATTAGTCTGACATTGAAAAAGTAGGCTAAAATTAAATCCTTTACTACGCTTCATTTTAATAAATGCACCTGCCAAGTCTCAGAAATATGAAAACTACCTCCTAAGGCTGCGTAAGTATATGAATCTAAAAGCCGATATCAGAAAATCCTTATGAATACAGTACTTACCAGAGTCTATTTGAAAAATATTTTTTTATAAGTACTGGAATATATTGCATTACATTTCAAATTAAGTTTATACAATTACTCGAATTATAGGGAAAATGTTAACTAATAAAACATATTATTGATCTTATTAATTGCATTCTGTGTATTGCAAGAGTAGAAAATGAGAACCCTCAAGACTTACTACTTTTTAATTTATTTTAACTTTAACATGGGTAATATGATTTCCTGGTCAGAATTGCTTAGCAACCAGGAAGGGAAAGAACACTTTTGTTTTAAAACAAATAAAGAGAAAAACACGATTGTAAAAGAAACAGATTCACACTTAGTCACACTTTATAATTAATTTTATTCAAGCACAATATTAGGTGTTAGGTCCTTTGTTAAGGTCTTCATTTGTAGTTTAAATCTGTTTTATTTTTAAACTAATGTTGATTTCTTTTCCAGAAGACTTTCTTAAACTTAACCATGTTACGTTGTTCAAAAAGTTTTAATATCCTTGGTCAGTTACAACTGACTCTGACTGCCCTTCTATTTTTGTAGTGACAAAGATTATTTTAAAATATTATCAATGTTACTATTTCTGGTCATGTTTTACATTAACAAAATAAACATGTATTTTATGATCAGCATTAATATATGTCGTATTACACGTCTATATGAAGACATGTCTCAGTTCTTTACACAAGTTTCCCAAGTAGTGATATAGTGTGCTCTCAGCAAAGCAGAACGGATGGAAATAACTTTTATTCAGAAGATTTTTAAAGGGTTTATTACATGGATAGATGGTATAAAATTCATAGGTGTACTCTAACATGGGAACATATACATATTTGTGTCTGTTAGGAGTTCTACACTGCAATTCCTTCATGTTTCTTGTGGTGTGTGTTTGGCAGGATGGCTGGGAGAAGGTGATTCTATGGAAATTTATGATGGATTCTGTAAAAACCTCATTAGCTTCTATGTCCTTAGATATTTAGAAGTTTTTACTACAAAGAAGCTTAACTCTCCTGTTGATGATTAATGACTTGCTTTTGATCATTACTTCTTTAATTAATTATCTTCATTTTTTATAGCTGATTTTGGAGTATCTGCACAGATAACAGCTACAATTGCCAAAAGGAAATCTTTCATTGGCACACCATATTGGTAATTGTGTTTTACTTGATTGTTAATGTAATAATAACTTTTACAATTCCAAAAATAGTAATTTGTATAAAAAGAAGTTTCTGGTCTTAATTTCCTGGTTAGACTAAGCATTTTGAGAGTCTTCGTTTATTGCCGGTATATTTTATTTTTTTAATGACTTATACCAAATATTAAACTTACCTAGAATGTTGTGGCCAGAGTACTGTGATGCTTTGAAAAATAGTTGTATCAGCTATATATTTCATCACCATTGACGAATATCAGTCATTGAATCTAGTTTTAAGTTCTCCCTGGAGTTTCCCCCCTTTAATTCTGATCTTACAAATACTTTTTCTATCCACCCATTTAGGTTTCAAATGTTTCTTTTCACTGACATGCCTTTCCTGGAACTCTTCACAGTTGGGAGTTGTTGTTGTTTCACTTGTTTGTGTCAACAGATGTGCTTACTATGTCTGGAATGCTCTTCTCAGCCACTTCCTCTTCAAATCTTGTTTTAAAAACCTTCCTATTTGTTTTACTCTATTATTAAATTAAATCCCACTCACCTTTCCCTTCCACTAGTACTCCACAACCTTTTATTCTTTTCTCACTATAACTGGCCTACAAGTATATTTACTTGCATATTTATCATTTTTAAATTTCAGCTTTCTTTTACTCCATCTGTATACTGGAAATGACTTTCCCTAGCTGTGTTTAAGAGAGTTGGGTATATTTACTGTAAAACATTATTTCTCTGTTCTATGCTGCTTTGAAAAGTATTTTGAGATCCTTTGTGTGAAAAATATGATGTACAAATGTGTATATATTACCACAAGTCTCTCCATTCGGATTTGTATTCTTGAAATATGCCCATGAATAAGGTGTTCAAACTTTTCCATAGTGTGGGCTGTATTTTTAATATATAGTGTCACATGGCTCCACCTCCCTTTCACAGTTGTACAAACCACGTTCCACTCATGATTGCATAAATGGATTGTGGCTCTATTTCCTGGCTGAGGTGCCTGGATGACTGTAATCCTGATCTATAGCGGTCTTTAACACAAACCACTATGTAGCTGCCAAGTTGTGTCAGTCTCCTTAGGTAATGTTTCAAGCTGACTTGCATAATTGTAAATAATTTGCATATAATCATGAACATCACTTTTGAAAATATTGTGTGAATTTAATGCTGGTAAAGGGCACCAGTTTTATTTCGGATGGCTCCCCTGAGCAGTGGGAGCAAGTAAGACTTCATTCCTTGTACCCCTTTGAAGAGATGGAAAGGAGGGGAAGGCTTGGGGTGTGTGTGTTAAAGATAACCAGGGGGTTTTGATGGGGAGAGGGTCTGGTCGCTAGGTGGGAGCGGAGGAAGTTGCTATAGGATAGTACTAGCTCCATTGGTAGTTGCCTTCCATTTCCACATTAGCTTTTGCTCCTCACACCATCTCCTATTCCTCCCTTAGCTCCTGTTTCTCAGTGGTCTCTTCCTTCCAGCAGTAGCTCCTTGCTTTTCTTGCCTTTTGGGCACTAATGCAACAAACATAAACTTCCCTGCTCCAAATGGCTTGGAAAAGGGCAGGGGGATTAGAGAACAATCAGAGAGACAGAGTGGCTGCCTGTTCAGCATGTGCCACAGTGGTCTCTAGTGGGAGCCAGGCGTACCTGCTGACCAGATTCCTTGCTTCAGGACCCAGCTGAATGTATGCATCATACAAGATGTGTAACAGTACATAGGTCTGCAACTAAATGTTCAAGTGATCTATTTTCATTAACCTTTTAATTCTGAGAATCGCTTTTAAGGGGGTAAAGAGAAAAATAATGGGGAGGAAAAGAGAAATGATCATCTCATCCCCTTTTAGCCAAACTAGCAAACTTAGTGTTTTTGTTAGAGTTTTGTAATAACATAAGACCTCACACTTACATAGTACCTAAGTTACCAAAAAGATTACAAAAGGCTTTACAAACTTAATATATACAGCAGTCTCTTTAACCACCTCAAGTGAAGTTGCACAGTAATTTAAGACAGGGTACATAGACTAATGTACTCAATTGAGATGGAAGAAGAAATTTAGGTAAGCAGACAGTTATTATCCATATTGGAACATGTTCAAGCCACCAAGCTTAACAACACAGCTATGCAAGAAACTTATCTTTCTTGATCACAAATGGTAAGGATATCTGTGTTTAGAGCCGTTTTCATTTTTCTCCTGCTACATAGTGTCACCTACCATTGTTCTGGGGCATTGATTTATTACCGACTGGGAGGGAAGAGTATCATCTACTGAACTCCTACTCCAGCTGGGGTTTTTCTTGGTGGTCTTCCATCTTAATGAGACCCAGCCATTCTTGGATTGAGTTCATAGCCTGATAGGGCTATAGCATGTAACCGTATCTGTAACAAATCAAAACAGGTGTTTTCACCTTACATTGGTTAGTCAATAATTTCAAATGTATTTGGTGCTTCTGTTTATGGATATCAATTGAGTATATAATACTTTTGCATCTGAGGATCTCAAAGTACTTTGCAAATTTTAATGAAGTCTCTCAACACCCCAGTGAAGTAGAAGATTATTATTTCCATTTTCCAGATGAGGAAACTGAGACACAGGGTGGTTGTGTCGCGCAGGACATATGTGCAGAGTTGGGAATAAATCCCAGGTCTGGTGACTCGAGGAGTGAAAAAGTTAGATGCATTTTCCTATAGAATTCTCCTAACCTTCATTTTATCACTTTTCAGGCTAATGTTTTAAAACTTTTTTTATAGTTAGATTGTACTCCAGTTTAATCATAAAATGTAGGGCTAGTTTGGTAGTCCAGTGATAGCTCACTTGTGCTATGGCTAAAAAATCCAACACTAGTTGTTTTTGTCCATTTGCTGCCAGACTCTGGGGTATTTGGGAGGCAGTATGCTCAGCTCTGGGAGGATATAGACAGAAAATTGCACCTCACTGTTGCAGTTCCTCTGACTCAAGAGTGTTAACTGATTTTGGAATGACTTGCAGCCAGCTCTCCTCAACTGAGTGAATGAACACCACAACACTAATGCCATAGAGTGGAATGGACAAAGTGGGGGGAAAAAAACTGAAATACCATTGAAGCTCAGTAGATCACAGGATTTCAAATGCTTACAAATAAGTCAAATAAATAAAAGGTTGTGTATACAATGTGTTCTAGAAAAATGAATAATAAAACATTGACTCACACTGAAAAGTGTTTGAGTTAGTCGTGGAGAGAGATAAATCTAACAGAGAAATGTCTTTTCTCTTAAAAACATATATATTTTAGGATGGCTCCAGAAGTTGCTGCAGTTGAAAGGAAGGGTGG